AAATATTTAAAGCATTAAGGCCACCACTTTTTATCGTTAATCATCTAAATCTAAAATACTTTTGTTTCCCTTTGTGACTTAGGGTATTATGTGAGAATATGTCATTCAACTAAATGTGTATGAGCAAATTAAGGAAACAGAAACACTCACTGAAGATAGATTAGAAGGAAGACATTGCACTTAATCCCTTTTATCTTTTAAAAAAATTAGAACCTAACCCTGTTAGGTTCAGATTCATATTATCGATACCCTCAACTGGAACACACTAGCTCCCCAGGGCTGAGTTGCTCTTTGGGAACTAAATAATTAAGTCCTGAGCTGGCTCATTTGTCCTAACCATAAGACTGTATAACCAGCAAGCAAAGAATAATAGAGCTTTTAACTCCCTAGGAGTTCAGTTCTTTCTCTAAGATTACTTTTCCTCTGCAATTTTAATAAAGAATAAACTTGAATCACTAGAAATACTGAAAAAGTGATTATAATGATGACTAAATAGATGACAGCAAATTTACAGTATGCAAAGAATTTTGGCTTTAAAAATGAAGGCCATGTTCCATAGAGTCCAGAGTAGGTAAATGGAACCAAATTTCTATGCAAATAAATATTTTTTAAAAAAGTAACTAACAGGCAATATACAGTTAATATCTTTAATCTTTACATAAAAAATCTTTACAGTATCTTAATTGAGTCTATTAACTAAAAACTATTCAAGACTATGTGAGAACTTCTTCAGGAAGTTTACTTAGATACTTGTCTTTTTTTTAGAGAGCAAAAAACCTCTTGGGTTTGGCAAGAGGAAGAGCTATCAGCCAGGCCATCATTCTGTTTACTAGAAGGTGGATTTGGCGCTGTGAAAACAGTTTACATGAAGACCATCTAAATAATATACCTGACCACTTTCCTTTCATTCCAAGGGCACCTGTTTATGTTTCTAAATCCAATATATAAAATCACTAAGAGAAACACATACTCCTTTCATTTATTGCTTTTTTTATACCATATTAGAAAGTATATGTTTGATTAATTGTTTCTTTCTTCAATTTAGTTTCCATTTAACGTTCTGTGTTCCTGCTGTAGACAAAGTTAAAGGGGACCGAACGTGGTGATTCATAGATTTCACTGTTTTAAACTTTGGTTATCTGTCAATAGAGGCATTTACCATACACTATAGCTTGGTTTCTCTCTATAAGACTTATTTGCTATAAAGCAGGGATCAGCGAACTATGGCTCTTGGGGCAAATCTGGCCAGCTGCCTGTTATTCTAATGGCCCATAGAAGAATAACAGTTTTTACATTTGTAAATGGTTACATTTTTTAAATGATTATAGACGTGCCTACATAACTGCCTCCATTTTGCCTCTTGGCCAACAAAGCCTAAAATATTTACTATCTGGCTTTTTAGGAAAAAGTCTGTTGACCTCTGCTATAGAGAGTCCCAGTTATATTTATACCGAGACTAGCTATAGTTAATGAGCAGAGCATTCCATTTTAAAATACCTATGTTAGTTGTTAAGGCCTTTATTTTCTAAGACATTTCCTTCTCATGCTTGTTCTCAGCTCAGAAATTAAAACCTGGGTCATATTTATTTAACCAAATTATAAGAATGTAAATCTTTATTAAAAAATCATAACTTTGTGTTGCAAAGAACTGTTTTGATATTTTTGTTAAATGCGTTGAAAATGGCTTAGCTATAAACTTTTTAGGTTTCATTTAAAAAATTAAATGTGTGGCAAAAAAATTATGAGATCCACTATGTAATTCTTCATACAAATTAAAGTACAGATCTAAGTATAGACTCTTTTACCATTTTCAATTTTGGGACCACCTCTAGCCTAACCAAACTAATCTTGACTGGGTTTCTTAATGACCTTTAAGACATGCATCCTTTTAGTTGGGCATTTCATCCAAGTGTGAAATGTTTCCTTAGATTCTAAGAACCAAATGGTATTTTTACAGTAGAGCTTTGAAATTCTTTGTCCCTTTGGAAATAGAAATTCTCAAAATTCATATGCCTATTTATAAGCTGGTAAATTATTCTTTTCATGTTCTGAAGAAGCAAAATTTCTTAAACTTTCTCTCTTTAGAATAAAAGTCAACATACCCATTCCTCCAAATTTAGAAGTAAGATAAATGGGCAGTTTTCTGAAGGATGAACAGCCCTTAGAAAGGTACAGAAATGAAAAGTACATTTTATATAGGTAGTTCAAGATTTAATCAAGATGGTGCTCAGGAAGTTAGGAACTATCAAAATTACTTAGAGAAAAGTCAGAAGGAAGATTTTCCACCATTTACAAATTTTTGGTAAATAGCTAGGAAAGAATAATACAAATTTCAAAGGAAAACTGATGTAACTGTGAAACAGTCACTATAATCACTTTAGCATTACCTCAGTATGCACAACTTTGTGTGTGTGTGTGTGTGTATATACACATATATACATATATAATATGGTATTTATTTCATATATTTATTAAAACTGTTTTCCATGTTCTTATAAATGGCTTGTGTATCTGTCTTCTCTTTTCAGTAAGTTAACTTTCTCAATGGGAAGAATTTTATTATTCTTCTGTTACTACTACTGTGTCCTATAGAATAAAACAAAATAATATATAGGACAAACTAAGGTTAAATACCTAAACTGAGTGTACAGAATATTAATAATATTTAGTTTAAAATACAAAAAAAGCAGGGAAGCAAATGTAGACCCAGAGGTGGTTTCAAATCTGGACCTAACCATGAGAGCATGAATTCAAGAGTATGTGCGTGAAGTGGGGTCACTTCCAGGTTGTTGTCCCTGATCATCTCTCCTCTAAAAGAGTCTGCTAGTCTAGTTCAGCACCTGGGTTTCTTGGGTCAAGGAAGCTATCAGGTGTCAATTTTGTGGCAGATCCAAATCTCAGGAGAATCGCTAAAACATATAAATCATCTAAGTATTATGAAAATGATAAGTAAGTGATAACACTCTATAGAAATACACTATCATTTCTAGTCAGATATCCAAAATAAGGACAATATGCTGCAAGACATTTTGCATTCTATAGGACCCACTCTCCCCACAAATCCTCCTTTCTCATTCATGTTATACTACTGTGTAAAAAAAAAAAATCTCCTTAAGTCTAGAATATATAAAACCCCTGCTTAGCACCTCAGTTTCCTCAGCTATAAAGCAGGTTAGGTAAAAGTGTTAAATAATTAACCTAAATAGAAGATGCTAAATAATTATGATTTTTTGCAAGTGTCTAATATTTACCAAAAATATATGATTTCTTATTTAAACAAACAGACCTGGTAAGTGACATGGTGCATTTTACTAGAAGTTGATACTTAAATTTTATTTTCCATTATGACCTTAGTATCATTTTAAGCTATGTAAGTACAGAAAAAAACCAAGGACATATGTTTGCTTACATCATTAGAAAGCCATAAATTTACGAACTTAAAATACTTATAGACTCTAGCTCTCCACCCAGGGTTTTAGAAACCATCAACTTGATTTTCAAATTGTGCTATGCTTGCCAACCTTCTCTGCATACATCAAGTGGTAATAATATTGTAAGGGACTCCCTCTGGGTATGGAAAGAAATGAAACTAAGTTTTACTTGTCTAAAATATATACTAAGAATTTGAAGACTAATGTGTGGCAGGTAACAAGAAGATGTTTGATTAGTCTCTAAATACAAATATAAGCAAAGATTACTCCCTCTACATTTAAAAACAGGGTCATTGCAAAGTAAACACGTTGACCAAATATGACTAAAGGAAGATACATATCTATCTTCATAGTTAAGAAAAGGCAGTTTCACTGAACTGCAAGCTACAACGTTCAGGAATTTTGCTTCTCCTCTGTTAGTCTTTATCCCTGTAACCATTCTTACTGTAATTGCTTTTTAAAGTCTAAGTAGCTACACAGAATATCTTGGTTGTTTAATACACCTGTCATTTATTCAGTGCTTTCAATTTGAGACAAGTCCTTGCACTGATTGATTTTTTTCTAAATTCTGACAACAATTCTAGACAATCATAACCCCATTTTATAGATAAGGAAACTGAACCTTAAAGAGACATTAAGTAATTTGAATGATGAAGCAGCTAGTAAATGGTAAAAACAGAATATAAATCATTATGCTCTTAATCATTATATAACATTGCCATTCTTTAATGGGAAATTAATCTTTTCACTTGACAGAAATGTCAGCATATTTTATAAATAGCAGAACATTGAGCATAAAAATATGTGATGTGGGTTCTTCATGCTTGTGTAAGCTAGGATTTTAAAGATAAAATTTCATTCTCTGGAAGAAGACAGAACTTACAATGAGATATGATGGCACTGATTATGGAAATAGCTTTAGAAATGTATGGAATGCAATATAGTTTAAAAGATTTACTTTATCTACTAAAAAATAAAATATATCCTTATGAACACATAATATGAAAAATGGAAAAAGTATATGAACGTATTAGCAATTTAATTCTTTACTGTAGTTATAATATTTGTTACTTGGTGTGATTTTTCATTTTTGAAATTGAGTTACTAAGTTTAGTAGAAGTCAGAGAAAAACATACTGTTCTCAAAAAGAGAACTTTATCACGCTACCTTAATCCAGGGTCAAGAGAGAAGCAGAAAAACTGAACGTTAAAAAAAACCCAAAACCGATAAAGGCCAGGATGTCTACAGGGCAATCTGACAACTAAATATAACTAACTTCATAAATAACCTGTTGGTCATTCTCAACATTCCTTTCTCTTGATCTGTAAATTGAGGACGAAGCCTTAGTGCTGAAGATACAGAGCAATGAGACATTCTATTCTCCACAGTTTGCTCAAAGAATGTAATACATGAAATTATTTATAATTTAGAAAATTCTATGAGTTTATATGACTGAGACACCCTTAGAAGAAAAAGCTGTCAACAATGGAGAAACTCCTTTATGTGACTTCAAACAAAGGCTTGTGAATTATACTCTTTATAGTTCATGTTAATTAAAAATTTACCAACCTATCACCAGGTCCTGCTCGATACCTTGCACCTGGGATCAGCACTGGGTCATCATCACTGTCATCTGTGTCCTGGAGAGCAGAGTCCCTGGCCAATGTTTCCTCATGAGCCAAAGGCCCAATGGCTTCTGTTTGTGATTGAGGTTCGGGATTGCTGGTACTCTGACTGGTAGCACTTTCAGTGCTAGTTTGATCTGAAGTTCCTGGTTCCTTGCCTTTTTCAGACAAAGTGGATTCTTCGGGAACCCCACAAGGGCTATCAAGATTGAAGTCATTCCTTTCTCCTGAACCGGAATCCAATGGCTCAAAAGTAAACTTATCTGATTGTGCTGTCAGAAAATAAGTAGTTACAATTGGTCATGTTGGCAACACTAATTATTTAATCTAACTTCAGAGCTGACACAGACAATTTCTAATATAAAGTCTAATCCCCCTATATGAAGAACAAAATTCCACAACACATCTATTTGGAAATGGTCTCTAACTCTGGAGAGACTAATACAGATTAAGGCTTCTTTTTCCTATATGAAGGAATTATCTAAAAAGAACATGACAACTCACCTATATCTATACTGTTCTGAACTGTGCTTTCTGCAGACGTACCTCCCTGAAGTGTTGTCACATCCTCTGATGATTCTTCAGGAGCTTCTGGGAATTCAACCAAATTATCATTAAATCCTAATTTTGTTTTTTAGAAAAATAAACACCAATTGAATACTCCAGCTTTCCTATATATAAGCAGTTTTTAACCCTTCTGGGGTCGTAGAAACTTTTGACACTCAGATAAAACCTCGCCCTGCCAGTGTAATGCAAATACTATGTATGTACCCACAAAACTGTAAAACGCTATTAGGAAGAAATGTGCAATTGTGCCCACTGCCTCTTCCTAAAGCCTATGTGTGGACCTTCATGAACTCCATGTGAAGAATCTCTGCTTTAGATTAGCCCTCACAACTGACATTTCTCAATCTTGCTTTTTTTTCCTCTAAACTTCAGAGAATCTAAACTTAAAACTGAGTATTTTTCTGCCCTTTTGTCATGCATTTGGTCTAATTTGAACTAGCATGAACAAATAGCAAAGTTAGCCCCACCATAAATTCTGTTTGGCCATTGAAAATACTTATTTCTGGATTTCATTCCAAGACCCATGAAGGATCAGTCTTTTTTGTTCCTAACTGGACATTTGCTTACCAGACAGTCATCTTATACGTACTTTATTCTTGTTAGCTCCGTTATACTGAGGTATGTATTCATTTAATGAAAAACAATTCAGTTATTCCTTCATTTATCAAGTATGTACTGAAAATCTACTCTGTTCTAGGCTATACTAACCCCTAAATTTCATTTGATGATCACATAAAACTATTCTAGGAAAGGGTTCTAAAAACATACTCTAAATGGCACTTCTCGTATGAAACAGGATTTACTCATAACCTGTTTAAAGTTTATCCCTTTTTTCCCTCCATAAACCACCTACACTCTTTGAAAAAATCAAGATTGGTACTCTGTATTTCACTGCTAGGTATAAAAATGGTAAAGATAATTCAAACCAACATTTCTTTCTAACGTACTGTCAGTACGATGACCATCTATCCTGGCCACTGTGTCCGCAGAGGGGAACTGTGCTTTACTGTGACGTCCCATCTTAAATGCTTAAGGTCCTTATCTTTTGCGTTTGTTATCTGTTTATCAACAGCAGTAACTGGACTATCGCGGCAAAAGTAATTGATTAAAAACAAGAAACAAAACTGTAGCACTGAGGTACCCGAAAAATAGGCAAACATCCAACACTGGGTTTTGTCATGACAAAAACAAAATTAACATCTTACTTGCTTCATTCTCTCCTCCTAATGGTTGCATGGAGCTCTGTGGGACCAAGGATTCCTCCTGACCCTCAGATTTGCAGTGGCTCCCATTTCCTCTAGAACTTGAGGCAGTACTGCTCCTACCATCAAGACAAGATAAGTGATCCCACCAAGAAGTTAATAAGCATGAACTTTTAGGATAATTTTTATATTTTACAACTAGAGAAGTTGATCAAAAAACTTGACTACAAATAAAATACAGGATTTATTATTTTAATAGTACTTGAAAAACATCACTTTAGAAAGTCTAGGGGGTTATTCTAATCCACTTTAGTATTTAAAAAGAGATTTAAAAATATGAAAGGACCACTTCTTCACTATTTTGATGCTTCTACGATCTGGTATATATTTTTACAAGTCTCTCTATTGAATTTTAACTTAATTATATAATCTCTCTTCTTGTTCTCACTACAGATGGTTCACCACATTCAAATTCTTAATGATTTTACAGACTCTGATCATAGGTCCTTTTAGACTTTGTTGTTCTAGGCTACTTTTAAATTAATACTTGAAAAGAGGCCTGGAAATTTCTTTGGTCTTTGAACTGCCCTCTGTGGACCACTGCCAGTTATAGATTGTTGTTCAAATATGGCAAGTGATTGAGCACCATGGTTTTGTAGAAGGATAATGTTTTCTGTTTTAGTTTTAATACCTACCTGATGATGATCCTAATTCTGTTAAAATTTTTAGCTAGAGCAGAATACCAGACCAATTTAAATAAATAATTTTCAATGAACATTCTGTGACAAATCATGACATATGTGTAAGAAGGGGACTGAGTGGGAAGGAAAATAGAGGAAAATGTATAACAATCTGACTAAGATTAAAATTAAATTCACAGAAATGCAACAATTTCTTAAATATAGTATAGATGTGAACAAGAAAAAGAAACTGAACAGCTACAGTAACTTAAAAAACGTTAATTATAGACAAACAGCAGTGACTCAATAAACAATGCAAATTATCATGGAACTTTTGTCAAAATTTTATAAAAATCTTTTTAGGTTAATTGCAGAAGTCAATTTGATTTTTTTAAAAGGGCATCCATATATAATATAGTTTTAAGAAAAATGTATATCTACATAGGTATATGAGCAGAGAAAAATGTCAGAAAGGATATTCACCAATGTTAAATGTCATCTCAGTAGGATTACTGTAAGTGATTTTTTTCACTTTCTCTCTAGATTCTGATTTTTTTGCAATGAACACGTATTTCTTTTTAGCCAGAAAGAAATGCATAGCAATTTTGGTAAAGAGAAGCCAATGTGATATATAAATCTTTTTTTTTTCCATTGAGAAAGCTATGATACAGGCTTAAATAAAATGCTCAATGTAGAATAGTTATGATAATTAAAACATTATGGCATTGATGTAGGAATACAGAGCCATTAGTGGAAAAGACAAAGTAATCAAGTAAATACATTTAGCATGTGTTAATATGGCATTTTAAATCACAGATAAACGACTAGATTGCTCAATAAATGGTACTGGGACAAGGGAAAAGCCATGTAGAAAAATTGAGCTATAAGCTCTACATCATACTTTATGGTAAAATAAATTGTAAAAGGATTAAACATATATTTTTGATATAAAATCACAGAACTATAAGAGGAAAACAAGAAGAAACTTTCCCCCTAATCCTGGGAAGGACAAGGAGTATCAGCTCACAGGCTGAAACCATAAAGCGAAACTACCATAAGTAAACTGAAAGACAAACAACAAACTGGGAAAAATATCTGCAACGAATGAAAGACAAATGATATTACCCTCACTTAATTCTATAATATATAGCTCTTATAAATCAATAAGAAAAAGATAAACACCACAGTAAAAAACTGGGCAAAGGACTTGAAAGGCAATTTATAAAAGATGACTATTGTAGCTAACAATTATTTAAAGCCTATCACGTGCTAAGTGCTATGTACTTTTTCTGCATGTTCTCATTAAATCTTCCCAACAAAGTCTGAGGTAGGTTCTATTAAATATGCCCTTTTTCAGATGAGAAAACTGATACTTAGAGAGGTTCAACAGCTAGTCAGGTTCAGAGCCCAAACTCTTGGTCAGTGTGCTCAATTGCCTTATCTGGATCAAAGAAACTAAAATAAAAGCAAGACACCATGCTGGCATAGATGAAAAAGACTGCATACTCTTTTGAATTTTTTTTTTTTTACAATGAATACAGAATACTTTCATAATCAGAAAAAAGTTAATTACTTTTTTGATAAAGAAATAAGAGAATATAATTCATGGTCAGTTTTTAAAGAAGGAAAAGTAGCATTCAAAAGAAGAGTGGGACTAAAGATGTTTGGTTAAAAAATGTTCAGATGAGATTGTTTGTAAGATATCAGTCCCTTCTGTACAGAAACATGAGAATAGAAAAGACTTAAGAATAACTATGACAATCTTCTGTGATCTTAAATCATGTACTAAGAAAAAGGGCCATAGATATCATTATTTTTAAAAGTTGAGGTCAAACACTAGAGTTCCTAAGGAAATTCTATTAATGGTACCTTCAAATATATATCTAGAATCCAATCTCTTCTGACTACCTCCATTGCTCCTATCCTGGTCCAAGACACCACTACCTCTCACCTTGCTTACTGCCAAAGCCTTTTATCTGGTCTCCCAGCTTCTATCTAAGGCCTATTCTCTACACAGCAACCAGAGATATCCTTTAACCTTTTAAAGACCCTTCTCACTTACCTGGCTGACTTTATCTGCTACTACTCTCTCCTTTGGTCACTCTACTCCAGCTACATTGTTGTTTTTTTTTAAAGATCCTTGAACATACTAAGACTGCTTCTGCTTCAGAGCCATTGTACTGGCTTTCTCTCTGCCTAGAAAGCTCTTCCCCCAGATATATGCATGGCTCACTCCTTCAAATTGTCCAAATATCATCTTCTCAATGATGCCTACCCTTTCCCTAGATCTCCCAAACATCTTTACCTGTCTTATTTTCTTTCATAGCACTTAATAGCATCAAACATACTACACAATTCACTTATTATGTTTATTGTCTGCCTCCCATACCTAGAATGTAAGCTCCAATAGGGCAGAGATATTTTTGTCTATTTTTTTCATTGATGCATTCCCAGTGTCTAGAACAGTCTTTGGAATGTAGAAAGGTATTCAATAAGATGTGAAAATCCTATTTAATCGAAGCATTTAATATTTAAAAACACACAGAAACACAAATGGAAACCAGTGAATTGGAATAAATAAATATCATATATCAACATATAATTAATTATATATTAATAAACAATATATAACTATATTATATATTATTTATATGCAATATTATATATCATACTAACATAATATATAATAATATACAATTAAATATGTTAATATAATAATATATTAATCATATAGGATAATCAATATATTGGTTATTAAATGATTAATATAATCACCCTGTATTTATCACATATAATTATATTAATATATAATTAATTATATATTAAGAAAGATTGATTATCTATATATTAATTTATATAATAATAGTAATAAATTCAAGTACAAAATTTTGGGTGCTGTCTCTCTCACACACAAGGCAATGAGACAGTGGCAAAGAATTTAAGGAGTTCACATAACTAGATTTTTTTTTAATGTAAGATTTAACTAGATTAAATGAACAATAAATATAATCAGAAATGTCATTAAAAAGAATCTACACAACTATTAAATAAGTTCAAACTCATCAGTAATAAATTAAATAAAAATAATTTAAAAATCAAATATATGTTACAAATAAATGAATATATTGAACATTGGTCTGGAGACAGCAAAACATGTACTTTCATATGGTGCTGGGAGAAATGTAATAACAGATTATCCTTTTGAAAATAATTTTGTAATATCTTTCAATCTAGATATAGTTTATTTCTGGAAAAATATCCCAAATCCATAACCTTAAAGGTAGGAAAAAGCTTGTAAACAAAGATATTCATTATAGTTTTATTTGGTAAAAATAAACAAATAAATTCACTGCCTAATTAAAGGGAAATGGTTAAGTAAAACTATGGTACATCCACTTGATGGAATCTGTTATACAGAAAATAATACTTATGAAAACTAAGTAGTATTGTGGGAATATTTACTATAAAGTTAACTCAAATAAATGCAGGGGAGAACTGAATATATTAGGTATGATTAAAATCATGTTTTAAAACTCAAACCAAAAATATATACGTATATATACACATACACATACCTTTTACATAGGACCAAGACTGCAAAAAGCTCCAAAATGTTAGGTTTATTAATTTTTGCACTGGTGGTCTATTGGTGATTGATTATTTTTATCTTTTGCATTTTCTATCAGAAGAAATATCCCAGGACCAGCAATATTAGTATCACCTGGGAAGTTTTTAGAAATGCAAATTCTCTGACTCCATCTCAAACTCTGAGAGTGGGGTCTAGTAATCTGTGTTTTAACAAGCTCTCCAAGCGATCCTGAAGCACACTAAAGTTTGAGAACCAATGTATTATTGCAAAACAAAGATGATGAAGTGCTAAAAATAATATCTAATACAATCCTACAAAATGGCTAAGAACATCTTCACAAAAATATTAACTTACCATTCATCTGTAAAGTTCAGTTTTATTGTGCTTGTAGTTGTTCCTTCTGTGCTGTAGTGCAAACTTAAAACTGGTTCACCTGTCCCTGGTTTGGGGCTCAGCTTTTCATTATTGTTATCTGAAAATTGTGTTTAAAACATTTGAAAAAAGTCTCTGAAACCAATAAAAAGATGACATTTCCTAAAATTTATAAAACTTAAATTAGGTTGTCCTTGTCATAACTCTTTCTCACATCTGCATGGTTCTCACTTAAAGTTCAAAGCAAGTGTTATAGAAACACTCTATATTTCAAAAGTGGCATTGCATCATTTTCTAGCTTTGTGTACATGACTCCCTTTGATTCAGATGAAAATCACACACATTTGAGAACCATATTTAGTTTTTAGGGAATCAAAGAATATTAACATGCAATGACATACTTTATAAACTTGGTACTTTTATTTAATGGAACGCTCAGGGTCTTTTTCTTCAGTTGCTACAGCATCAAGAATAACTATCATTGGCTCCTTCAGAAACACTGAGAAGTAAGATGCAAGGGCTCCAAAAGAAGTTGTTTAGTAAAACCTTTGCTGCAATTAAATGCTATCAAATTCTTTCTGTTCTTTCAAATTCATAGACTTATAATCTAGGGAGGGATTACAGCCTGTACACTATTGGGAAGGAGGCGGGAGAAGAAAATTTATTGTGCTCTGTTATTTTCTAAAACTCTATGTTATAAGATCGTACGTTTTGGTGTAATTCCATCCTCTTCTCCTGCCTAATCTTGCAAGAACTTTGTTTTCTAAATTATGGAAAGGCAATTCCACCTTAAGAGTCTATAGGTGATAATCATAATATACATCCATCTCAACATATAAAATCTTTGTAAAATGGTAAATAAAACTCAAGAAACTCCACAGAAATGGATACAAACCACTTTGAAGTCACTTCTCCCCTCCCCCCCCAAAAGGAGTACATGGATATTCAAAGACAAATTTGAATAAGGTTTTAAATTTTTTTTCTTTTTATGATGAATAACAGCTTGGGGATCATTAAAATATATAGGGAATAAAAACTGCTATATAATCAAACATGTAACATTTCTGCCAGTTGCTTGCAGAAAGGAAACTCTTCTGTGTCATAATTGTTTTCTCGATACAAGAAACTCTTCTGTGTCCTAATTGTTTTCTCGATACAAGTTCAAGGACTTGATGTAATAGTACTAAAAATAAGCTTTCTGTCTTGAAAACGGTATCAACAAAAGCATTAACAACTTAATGAAATCAAAATTACTTAGGATTTTTGGTTATTAGGTCCACTTTATATTGCAATGAAGGACATATCTTTTTGCATTCCTCTTGAAGACGGTGGAGCACTTACTAAAAGAGATTCTCATAGAAACTCTGCTCTAGCTTTTATCCTGTGAGAGGACAATTAACAAGACTTAAAAATACAGAACTGTAGCAGAAAGGAAAACGGATTCTCCCCAAGAGATGAGAAGCCAAGCTGATAAAACTCAGGATTATCAATTCTTACGTCTTCACTTCTAACTCCTGAGAAATCCTCTCCTATAACATTAATTACTATTTGAAAATAAAAGTATGAATCAATTATAAAGCTGGCCTACCAAATGACAAATTCACTTTGTTTCTGTACTACTTTTGTTATGATTATGTCCTTGATATAAAGAGCTGCTGGAAAAAGAATTAACAATCCATTACGACTTTCGAAGATTCAATATTACATTCAATGTTTTAGAGGACGTATTTTACCAAATGGCATTCTGATAAAATAACCAAATTAACATATCTTTAACTTACATAAAATTATCAAGACACGACTTTTTTTTTTTTTTTTGGCCACGCCGCATGATCTGTGGGATCTTAGTTCCCTAACTGGGGACTGAACCTGATCCCTCGGCAGTGAATGCCAGAGTCCTAACCACTGGACCACCAGGGAACTCCTGAACGGGATTTTTAAAATATCTGTCCTATCCTTGACAATCTTTGAAAAATGTGCTGTTAGTCATTTGTCCACATACAGTTTTCCCTTATTCTTTAGTTATGTTGCTAAAATTTCTGTCCCACTGCTGCCCAAACCACAGTCATCCTTAGGGATCTGGAATTGGTGAAGATAGCTGAAAGACTGAATGAATGATCAAGGAAACTAAGAGGTAGAGCTGGGGCTACTTCTTTCATTATCTCTCACAACATTTTGTAAAGTGCTTTGCTATTATTTTTCTTTTAAAGTAGAGAAGAAATAGGGGGGGGAAAAAGCCATTTAACACCTGAAACTAACAAACACAACACTGTAAATCAACTATACTCCAACAAAAATTTAAAAAAAGAAGCCATTTAAATGCTGTATCAAAACTTCCTTTTTGAGTAAAATTAGAGGCAGCTATAGATATTTGCATGCTATGACTAAAGGAATATAGTAGACAAATAGCTGGCTATTAAGAGGTCAAAATGGTGTAGAAAATATCTACCAACCTCCAAGAGCACCCCCAACCTCCAAAAGCAAGAAGCTTCCTGAGATGATCAATGTTAATTCAAACCTTCTTCCTAGGTTATCTACTACCAAGTTATTATTTAATCTCTCTGGAATATAGTAAAAATCATGTAAAACACAGTAGTAGTACTCATTTAATTTATAAAATGACTATAGTTGACAGAATTTGTTCATTTAAGTTGTCAATGAAGTCATTAGCCTGGAGTAAAATTGGCCCATCACATTATTTCTGTTAGCAACAAATACTTCAGACCCCTAGTCTAGTTATCTCCTTGTAGACTGCATATAAATAATGTCTCTGGCAGAAACACTATGCAGTGTAGAACATGGTTTCTTCAACTGAGGCATTAATGGAAGTGTATATCCGAGGTTTAAAAATCCATTTCCTAGCCTTGTTCCATTCTACTCTTCCTAGTTTAATACTCCTCTTCTTGACCATATACAGCCTATCAAATTGAATTTTCTTGGAAATGTAGATCACTGGTTTACTAGTAAATTAATTAACAAATTATTTCTGATAAAGTGCATATTTTAAGTTAAAAAGGTCTATAAAAAATCTACTTTAAAGAACTAAAAAATAAATTTTATTATTACTTTATTTGAAGAAATATTTGTAACCATTTTAATTTTCCATAACTTGCTCTGTGTGTTAAAAGTTGGATTAGCAAACACATTCTAAAAAATGTATTATTCAAAGTCTTACTTATATAATGCACAGAAATATATTAATATTACTGAAATATTTTGCTTAACAAGTAGAGATTTTAATTTAACAGCCTTAGGGTTTAGAACTTCACCAAACCCAATGACTTTATGTAGAACTCACAATCATAACAATAACCAAAATTTCTTGAACATTACTGTGTCCCAGGATATATATGTATCCTTTGTTAAATCTCTGTAGCACATATTTTAATCTCCATTTTATAGATGATGAAATGATGATAATGAGCTAGATTCTTTTTCTCTAGTAACCTAAGTTTCTTTCTATATGAAGTTCCTACTTACTATACTGTCTTGGAAATAATTTGAATACTCAGTAGAAAATAAGATTCCTTAAATAAATATTTTAATTAAGAAATATCAACTGCTGGTATTGTTATCTCTCAGAAGTGATGTATAATTCATAACAGCAACTTTAACTGATAAAAGTTCTGGTAGTCCAAACTGTCACTTTGGTATCAGAGTATTGGAAAACTACACTGTATCTTTTCCAGGGCACTGAAAGACTGAACTATTTCTTCTCACTCTAAAAACATTATAGGAGAATAAAATTAATTGTGGTGCACTCAGCACAAGGACAGTGTAGTGGGGGGAAAAATCAGTTTTAACTTGTTCAACACTGCTAAGATGGCCATATATATTGCTTTGTAGTTTAATTATTAAAAACAACTGATGATGTTAGTAGCTTAGAGCAGTCTCTAACCAGGCAAACGACCAGCCATTAAAATACATGCTTTAGGGCTTCCCTGGTGGCGCAGTGGTTGAGAGTCTGCCTGCCGATGCAGGGGACACGGGTTCGTGCCCCGGTCCGGGAAGACTGTGGAGTGGCTGGGCCCGTTAGCCATGGCCGCTGAGCCTGTGCATACGGAGCCTGTGCTCCGCAACGGGAGAGGCCAGAACAGTGAGAGGCCCGCGTATCGCAAAAACAAACACAAAAACAAAAAAAAACATGCTTTAGCAAGCACAGTCATAACCACATAAAAATCAAGACAATATCCTGTAAAAGATTTTTTGGAGTTAGAAGTGAATAGTCAGTAACATAAGGTTCTGGGAAGCAAATTTAAGAGATCCTTTCCCAAAAGAGCCCTTTCAGATTAATGCATTGGCTCAGAAAAAAATCTCAGAATGGGCTGGAATACAATTTGAAAGCAACTTCTTTGAACTTTAATTAGGTATCTTTCAAGCTTTGATTCACAATAAGAACCACAAATAAACTTTTTTTTGGTGAATACACGTATTTTCAAACCATTCAATCTGTGCATTTCAACTATGAAATTAATCATTTGTGGTTCTAAAAAAACATGCTGAAAGTAGTAATAAAATATGCTATCTTGGTAACTAGGTTTGTATATCATCTAAATATTGATATGGATGTTTGGTGTTTTAGCTAGGATATCCCTGGAGGCCCATCCTATGTGTAAATTTAAACAAAGTTATCAAAATGATGATAATTAAGTAGCATATGGCCACAATAATTTGTGTAGAACCACTATGCCCAACATTTTCTCTGCTGCTGGGTCACCATTCTAACTGTACAATCATCCATTAATCACCTACAGTAGCTCAGATATCCTGTGGATCATATAGAAATAATATATTCTTTGCCTCAGGGATTTTCTATTGCACAATGAACTTGTCAATATTTTTCCTTCTATTTTGCCAAATGTTTAAAATAAAAATCAATCTAAAAGGAAACAAAATATATGATGAAATCCTCTGAAAAAACACTGACATAGCAATGATAAAGCTCAACTATCTCCCCAAATTTTGCACCCCAACTTGCTTGGCATACATAGAAGAAAAGGCAAATTTCTCAAGTATAATTTCTAGGCCAATGCAAACTTTCCAATTTTATAGGTCAGGAACCTGTAACTTTTCTGCATACCTCAGACTACTGGATATCCA